TATATTTTGCTTCAGATTATTTATTATATATTATATTTAGATAAGTTGCAAAGCAACTCTAGCCAACAACTCTGTGCAGACAAGGTCCACCCTAAAATGCGACATGAGCCGAGAACGAAAGCAATGCAATAAAGATAAGTGGAACAAAGACAAAGACAAAGAGAACAAATATAAACAAGCGAATGCATGGAGCAACACAATCAGAATCCGATCGCTGCCTGCTGTGGCTGTCAGTAGCGGACTTAGTTCGGGTTCGTTAGCACGCATCGAGTGGAATTCGAGGCAGCAGAATGCCACGCCCAATACTCTTGATACATGGCGGAGCGGGAGACATCACCGATGCGCGCGTGGAAGGCAAGTTCAAGGGCATCAAAGACGCGCTTCGGGCAGCTTGGAAGCTTCTTGAGCCGGCTGGCGCAGAGTCGTCGAGCAGCGCACTGAATGCCGTGGAGGCAGCAGTGCGCTCCATGGAGCTGGATGAGTCCTTCAATGCGGGCTACGGCTCGTGCCTGAACACCGCCGGCGCTGTGGAGATGGAGGCCAGCCTTATGGAGGGGCGGGAATTGCGTGCGGGCTGTGTGACCCTGCTGACGGACGTCATGCATCCGATTACGGTGGCCCGCCGACTGATGGAGAAGCGCCGGCATGTATTCCTTGGCGGCCAGGCAGCCCAGGAGCTGGCGCTGAGCACCGGCAGTGAAAAGCTGCCAGCCGGCGCCCTGGTCACGGACAGTGCTCGGCAGGCATTGCGTGAGTTCCTGGAGCAGGAAGCTAAGGGTCTGGACACCACCTTTGCCCGCACCGAGCTGGATGATGCCCGCACCGATCCAAAGGGCGATACGGTGGGCGCCGTTGCCATGGATGCGAGCGGACTCATCGTAGTGGGCACCTCGACCGGCGGCATCACTGGCAAGTGGCCGGGCCGCATTGGCGACACTCCGCTGCTCGGATGCGGCACCTATGCCGACAATACTGTTGGCGGCGTCTCCACCACAGGGCACGGCGAGACCATAATGCGCTACAATCTCGCACAGCGCATTTTGGGCGCCATACAGCACCAGGGACTCAGTGCTCAGGCAGCCGCCGAGAGGGAGTGCCAGAAGATGACTGAGCGCATCGGCGGCACAGGCGGCGCCATTGTCATCGATCACAAGGGCGAGGTGGGCATAAGCTGGACGTCACGGCGCATGGCCTGGGGCTATGTGCGCGACGGCATCATTCATTATGGAATCAACCACAACGAGGTATTTCAGGAGCCGCTGGTAGCCAAGGCGGAATAATTATGCAGCTCTGAAGGAGTAATATGATATACATATGTATGTATATGTATGTATGTAATACTATGTATGTATGTGAATCAATAAACCACATTTTTCTGAACATCATCTTTAACCATCAGATGGTCAATATAATGATAGAGACATATGCATGTATGTATGTATGTGTGTGGATTGATTAAAAATAAATAACAATTATCAATACTATTAAGCTTTACAAAGTAAACCTGTTCAAGTCGAAAGTAAAAGCAGTCAAGGAATTAGCAACGACAAAACGAAATGATTTGAGATTAAAGTAATCTAGGAATTTATGAATATATTGTGGAATTTAAAAATCTATTAGCTGCATTACATGTATTTAGCTTTTAGATTGATAACAGCAGCGCCAGAGGTGCTCAATCTCCATACAAAGCTAAAGACCCACGAGCCAGAGCGACGTCACACTGTTAACTTAACAGAGTCGTTGCATAGCTTAACATCAGACAAGTCTGTTATTAATTACCATGCATGTAAACTAATACAAAATGCAGGGCAAGGCGGATGGTTCTTTTAAAAGATTCAGTAAGTCAATGGACAGTCGTCATGTCTTCCTTGGCGGACAAGCGGCCCAGGAGTCTGTGGTGAGGAGCGGCATGGAAAAACTGCTAGCAGGTGCCCTTCTCACAGTTGCTGTTGGAGAGAATTAGCGTATATATGTACATATAAAGACTGGAAGCTCAGTGCTTAGCTCAGGAGCGATACGATGAGCGCCGTTGCCATGGATGCAAACGGGTTAATTGGGCGGGCTCGTCGACTGGTGGCATCTCCGGTAGCTATGCCGATAATACTGTTGGCGACATATTCTGCACTGGCAATGATAAGCTCATAATGCGCTACAATCTCGGTCTGCGTATTTTCAACGCCATACAGCTGCAGGGAATCAGTGCTCAGGCGACTGTTGAGCAGGAATGCCAGAAGATGACTGAGCGCATCGGCGGCACTGGTGGCGCCATTATCATCGATCACAAGGGCGAGATAGGCGTGGCCTGGAACTCGGAGCACATGGGCTGTGCTTACTTGCGCGACGACATCATTCATAATGGGATCCTTCACAATGAGGTATTTCAGGAGACGCTGGTTATGCAATTGTCAAGAGTACCTTCAATAAAACATTAAATACTTTGAATAAATTACGTTTAGTAAAGCACAAAATCAACTATATCTAAATGATAAAGGTCTAATGTATGTACAGTATTAAGAGGCTTAAACTATCTTAAACCATAGCTATAGTAACTATAGGCTATATAAATTCTACAAAATTGTTCATAATTCCCAGACTGAAATGTGGATTCCTTTAACTAAATTAACTAATTAACTAAAGTTATAAACAAATATGTCATAAACCTGAGACAGAATGAAAAATCGAGCATTTATCGCAAAATATGTGCAAGTGCCGCAACATTGCTGGGCATTGCTCCTATCATGGCGAGTTCAACTTAAAACTATTTGTCGCAGTGCCACTTAATCAATGTAATCAATCTGACCTATTTACACTTAATTTGGACAATCAGGGTGAGACTGTCCATGAAATTTACAAATGAATGCAAGATTACGCTGCTGAACACTCAGACATTACGCAGAGATTGCACACGATCTTTGCCAGCCAGCCAGCCAGCCAGTGGCTAACCCTGGCCACCCCGGGGAGCCACCTCGCGCTGCGACTCGTGCGCTTCAGTGGTGCCATAACAGTATTTGGCCGCCTCATTGCGGTACTTGTTCTCGTGCTCGACAGAATGTGAGTTGGTGCGACACTTGACCAGGCACAGCTCAAAGTGGTCCACAACACTGGCGTAGATATATTTCTGTGTGTTGTGCGCCTGCAGCACTTGCTCCAGCAGAGATCGCTTATTCGGATGCAGGCAACAGGAGACACAGTATTCATAGACGCCGCAACAGTGTGATGTGGTATTGCAACTGTAGCAGCTATAGTAGCTAATCCCGGCCAACTCCACGTTGCAGCAGCCATTGACCAGCATCTGTTCCCGTAGGCATACGAATCCTCGCTCATCGGCCAGCAGCTGCCGCCCTTGCACCGAATTGCGACAACGTAAGTCGGGATCCTTGGTCCGATTGAGATGTTCTTCGGGCGGCAGCAATTGCTGCTTCCATAGCAGCGGGCGTGTCCGTTGTGGTTTATATTCATCGTAATGCAGCGCACTGAAGGCTCCCTCCTGTTGGGCATACAACAGATTGTTATGAATCCATTATTGATACCAATTCCCTATGCACGACTCACCTGATCAAAGAGGTTGCCGAATATGTAAAGGATGGCCAGCAGTACTAGAATTATATAAATAATGCGTCGTCGTAGCAATCGTGTGAGTGCGGCTGGCCACATCGTATGCGTCTGCGGACATGGGCATCGGCATCATTGCCAACGGTGTTTTCAGGCAGTTAGTTTCGTCAAAGCTGGAAGCGATGCTGTATTTGCTGCGGCTGTCGTTCAGCTTGACAATTGCTTGAACGTGGTGCACGCATTTGATTTTCGAATCTCTAACAAAATAGTTGGCGAAATATTTGCATTTGTTTTGGGCCGAACAGCTGTGCGCAGCGTTGCCACACATTCAAAAGTGAATGGCATGAACGATTACATTTCATAGGAATTATCGATTGTCTTCAAATAATTTAAATAAATTACTTTAGTATATTTAATATTTTATTTACTTTTAATCAATTTATGGTATACAACATTGTTGTGTTTTACATTTTTTCTTTTAAGAGTACAGGACACATTATCCTTTTTTACTTAAAGAATAGAATTTATATAATGGAAATTGATTTGTTAGAAATTAATGTAAGTACGATTAAAAATGTTTAGCTCCTTTCAGATTTTAAACAATCTAATAAGGAAAATTAAATTACATAAACGATTATATCTCACTAGAATTATCGATTGTCTTCAAATATTATAAATTAAATACTTTATCAATTGTTAACATTGTAATGTGTGAAAGCTACAAGCATTTCAGGATTATTAGACATTTTGGACTTTAAATAGAGAATACTAGCATTAAACGAATTTTATTTCGTACTTTATGAAACAGCCTAACAACGTAAACATATGATTAGACTATCCATCTTCTTCTTCTGACAATGATTCTGCTAGTTCCTGCTGAGCTTTGTACGCTCTTATTTTCTCACGCAAAGCTATGTCGGGCTCCAGATGCTTAAGGCTTATGCAACTTTTGATCGGGCATCCTACTACTGGACAGCGTATACCAGAATTGCCTTGTAACATAGCATCTACACTATCTTTTTCGTAGTGATGCCCGCACTTAGTGTTTCGCACTGGATTCAACATTAACTTCTTTGACCATGGATCAAACATTGAGACAACTTTGCCACCTGGCTCAACAACCTCGGTCACTTCCTCATCATTTACGTTTGTTGCATTCGAATCACCACCTACGGCGGTCAATCGTTGTTTAAACTCTTTATACTCAGCCGATTGCTTAATATTGGTGCGTTTCCTTTCTTCATTTTCCAAAATCTCTGCACATTTGGCATTTGCCTCTTCGACTGTTTCAGCTTCATTTAATACGTTCTGCAAAGCAGCATCTATGCGTTTGTGCTTGGCCTTCAAAGCAATTATATCTTCGCCGATCTTCAATCGATCCTTCATTTTTTCATTAAGCAATTTTTGTACATTTTCGCGGAAATTGTCATCACAACCTTAAAACAAATAGTTTGTACTTTAGATTTACCTCTTCAAATATAATTAGATTTGTCTACTTACAGTTTTCCAATGATCTTATAAACTCGGTGTTTTCAATAATAGTTTGTTTGACATCTTCAAGGCTACTTAAAAACTCCATTAGGTTCGTAATATTTTTGCTTTCTATCCAAATCTCAAACTTCTGGAAACCGATTATTCAGCTTAGGATTTAGTTATCGGAACTTATCCATCGGATTGTGAGCTGAACCAGTAGCTTGCTAATACAAGCAGGCTTTTCTTTAAAAGGAAATCTAATGTCAACAGAATACACAGCACAACAAAATCATTTGAAATTTCAAAATACACAATTGTGTGCTATTGTTATTATCATCAGGAGCTTGTAGGCTTTGCTTTCCGTATTTATTTTAACACAAAATTTTGTCTTTTTACTAATTTAAATCCAACAAACTACAAAATTTCTTGCAATATTCTTTGCGTTTGTATTTTTACAAATCAACCTCTCTACCATAAATTAATTAGAGGTAAAGGTAATCGTAACCACTTGCTAGCCGGTGCAAACGAAGAACTAGTTCACTGTGAAGCGGCGCGGAATCAATGTGATTCCATTGGTACACCAATACAACTCTAGATAGCAACAACAGCATTACCTGCTCAGAACGTTAAGAAGTTGAGGTGAAAGTGGCAAAAGCCTCTAAGCGCTAGCGTGGAAGCAACGTAGCGGAGAACGGGGCTTTACAGTTGCAAGATAGCCAACATACCAACATAAGGAGACAGCTCAGGGGAACTGTCAAAAAGTCTAACCCGGAGAAAGGAGCAACAGCTGTTGCTAGCCACAGACACACACACACATACTTTTACACACAGTCACACACGTACAAAATGCCACACAAACAGTCTCAAAGCTGGATTTACACCTGCCTCTTGGTCAGTATCTTGCCTACATTGTGCTTGGGCTTACTCGACGGTCTCTACTGTGGCAAGGAGAACTGTTACGATGTGCTGGGCGTCACACGTGAATCCTCAAAGTCGGAGATCGGCAAGGCCTACCGGCAGCTGGCACGCAAATATCATCCCGATCTGCACCGTGGCGAGGAGGCCAAGGCGCTGGCCGAGCAGAAGTTTAAGCTCGTTGCCACCGCCTACGAGATACTGCGCGACGAGGAGTCCCGCACAGACTACGACTACATGCTGGATAACCCGGACGCCTACTATGCGCATTACTATCGCTACTACCGACGACGTGTGGCACCCAAAGTCGATGTGCGCGTGGTGATCGTGGTGACGTTGACCGTGATTTCTATAATCCAGTACTACTCTGGTTGGCAGCGCTACGATGCTGCCATCAAATACTTTTCAACGGTGCCCAAGTATCGCAACAAGGCGCTGGACATAGCCCGAGATGAGATCCAGGAGCGAGTGCACAATCGCAAGGGCAAGAATCGCAAGAGCCTATCGAAAACGGAACAGAAAGAGGAAATCGAGCGTATTATACGCAAGGTAATCGAGGAGAAAATGGACGTTCAGGGCGGCTATGCGAAGCCGACGCTATGGGATGTGCTATGGGTGCAGCTGCTCATCTGCCCGTACACGCTGTTCAATTTCATTGCGTGGCACGCGCTGTGGTTCTGGCGCTACACGGTGCTCAAGCAGCCGTACGGCCGGGAGCAGCAGCTCTATTTGATACGACGCCACATGGGCATGGGTCAGCACCAGTTCAATTCACTGGAGGACAAACAGATCGAGGAGTATCTGCAGCTTGAACTGTGGAAGCGTGACAATTTTGTCGCGTGGAAGACCGATCAGGACGAGGACATGAAGAAGAAACTGGCCGAGAATCCGCGCTACAAGGCCTACAGGCGCTACATGAAGAACCATGGGCCCGGGCGGATCACCTTCGAGGATTAGAGGACGAGTACGGCATCTGTTGATGTTCAAGTTTTATTGTTCCAACGTGTCGCCATGGGCCAGTCAACTGTAATTTATTGTTTTCAACGTTCTCTCATCTAGCAGACATCGATGTTTTTTTTTTTATTTTTCTTTTTTTTTTCTTTTAACAATTTGTTCGTGTCTAGGGCGAAGTTTTGCAATAGCTTAAAAATAAATTATGTTAATAATTCTGCTGGCCATTTGAACACTGCCCGCAGGGCAGCGATGGCCAAAGCGTTGACCTCGCCACCAAAACCGGTTCCAAAAACGTGCTTACTCGCATTTCATCTCTCATCTTTCATCTTCCACATCTGCCAGCAGAAACGTGCGATAAACGCGAAACCGAAAACCGAGAACCTCTCTCTGTTTTTTGTCTCTCCTTTTTTCAAGTTGTTAGCTCAATTGTCCGAATTTTTATATAGCAAATATACAAAACACTAAATATTAAATAAAAACTAAATATTTAAATGAGAGTTACAAGTAAATGCTAATTGAAATTGTATTCTATAGTAATGCACATATTTGTATTTGTTGTAGGTCGGACTGAGTCGTAACATTTCAGAATTATTTCGAAATGGCCTTTAGAACATGTGGGACTATATGAATGTGGAGCACTCTGACGTCTTCTGACAAATTCTTGCATGTGGAGCGCCAAATTCGTGTATACAGTTGTGCTTCAATCCACATAACTGAATCCGCATATTATTGTTGATAGCTTTAGTTGTTGTTGTTGTTGTTGCTTCTGTTTCTGTTTCTGTTTTTGAATATATGTTGGAAACCGTTGCCAACTCGACTTTATTTACACAGCTGATGAGCTCTAGACTAATTTGTTTTGCACGCGTGCTTAAGACCTAAAGGTGGGTCAATGGATTGGGTAATTGGAGTTGCGTGGGCAGGGGCAGGGGCTGGGGCAGGGGGAGAGGCAATACAACTATTCCATCAAGTATTTGGTATCGCTGACAAGTTCATCGGCATCGAGAAGACCGCTGACAAGCCCGAACGGCACCTTGACATCTTGTACGTTCTGGAATTCGCTATCGTCCAGCTGCGTATCATGATAGTCGTCCAGATCCTGCTCAGCGTCGTCCGCATCATCGTCGTTGAACATGAAATCATTTGTGACAATGCATTCCTCCAGCACTTTGGCCTGTTCGCCGCCCGCCTGGTTGAGATTGGTCATTCCGATGCCAACGCTGACACTGTCATCATCATAGGAATCATCGTCTCCAACGGCCAAATCGCGATCATTGTAATGCAATTGTGATTGTTGCTGCTGCTGCTGCTGCTGTTGTTGTTGTTGTTGTTTTCGCAGCTGCTGTTCCTGTTGATGCTGTTGCCTCTGCTGCTGCCCCTTTTGCTTCTGTCGCTTGCGCATCGGCAGTCGCAGTGACATTCCCGTGCCTGGGTCCACCACCGGCTGTTGCTTCACATGCTGGGCTATATGCGTGGCCAGATAGGATTTCTTGGTGAATCCCTTGTCGCATTGCGTGCACTGAAATTGCTTTTTGCCCGTGTGCACGCGCCGATGCACGGACAGCACATGGGCATAGGCAAATCCCTTATTGCACACCTCACAGATGTACGGCCGCTCCCCGGTATGAATCCGTTCGTGCTTCTTGCTGCTGCCAAAGTCGGAGAAGCGACGTTCGCAGTAGAGGCAGCCATACGGCTTCTGTCCGGTGTGGACACGCATGTGACGACGCAGCTCCACATTCGAAATGAACGCCTTCTGGCACACTTCGCACGGATACGGCCGATCGTTGTTGTGCCGGCGCATATGCGCATTGAGCGCATGCTGATACTTGTATGTGTTGCCGCAAATGTCACAGATCTTGGGCTCTGTGGGGCGGCGTGGTCGCACTCCGCTGACATTGACGATTACATTGTTTCCGTTTCCACTGCTATTGTTGTTGTCGCTGCTTTCGATGTTGCTGTTGATGTTGTTGTTCTCGTTGTTGTTGTTGTTGTTGTTGACTGGAGCACACTGAGTGGTCTGTGCCGGCAAATACTCGTCCTCGGCCAGCTTATAGTCCTGATCATCGTCGTCCTGCTGCTGGTCCTGCTCCTGGTCTTGTTCCAGTTCCTGCTCGTGCACGAACTCTTGATCCATCTCCAGATCGTTGTCCTGCTCCGATTCACATTGCTGCTGCTGCTGTTGCTGTTGCTGTTGCTGTTGCTCCGCTTGTTCGGCAGCCCAATCCACATCCAGTGCAATCACCTTGTCTTCCTCAGCATCTGAAGGGATACTAGCCACATCTTGCAGCATGAGTGTAGTTGCGCTATCGTCTGGCTGAATCATGAGTGCGTGCACCTCAACATCCACATCATCCACATCATGCACTTCGGCAACATCATCATCGTCATTGTAATACTTAACTTTTTTGGCGGTTGGCTCAGCTGGCAAACGCTTCACGCGGAGACCGGATGGCAACTTGAGATGTTGTGTTTGCTCCAATATCAATTTATCAACGTCCACAAGCTGTGTGGCCGAAGCTGCCGATTGGAATATCTTTTGTGCTTCTAGGCATTTCTGTTGGAAACGATAGGTGATGCTTAGCTCGTTGCGGCATCCATGGCAGATTTTGTCGGGCAGCTGTGCTAGGAGCGGCCTCTCCAACTGCAATGCACTGCAACTACGTATTTTATCCACAATTTGCATATGAGGTGTCTCCAGATCTTGACCATAAATTGAACAATATCCAGGCTCCGCGCGCAAACATATTAGGCACACAACGCCTAGATCTACAAGCCCCGAATCAGGACCTAAATTACGCGGCATTGCTTAAAGTTTGTTATGAGTGCTAAAAACATAACGCCTTTACTCGCACACAAACACGATTGCACACATAGAAACATACAATTATGGATACTATATTTTGTGTGTCTATTTTGTGAGTGTTGCTCTTTTTGTTGTTAGTTCTTGTTAAACACTATCGATAGTTTGTTAGTTCATTCGTGTTGATGATAGTCGATGCTATCGATATACATTTACCAACAGCCACGCCAGTGACGTCACAGCTTGATATTTTTATTATCTTTAATGTTATCACTAACCATTTGATTAGTAATATTATCATCTGTAAAGAGGTATAAATTCTTAAACAGACTTACTGGTATGAACGGTCCATTCTAATAGCTAAACGCCACAATACCATGTGAACTAAACTACCTAGCGATGTGTTTGCGCACTTGCAACTATTGTGAATTGCAATCGATAAAAGTATTTTGAACACAGCTGGCGGCGAAATTTCTGCTCAAGTCAGAAACACAGCTTATTGTTAACAATTTAAAAATCCACAAATAAATTCTTTAAAAAATCTAAACTCCTTCAAAGTGTTCTCATTTCTTTAAATACGGCACGGACATGTCTCAAAATCCATTAACCGAGCTAACACACCAATTGGTCAAACATTTTGCAATCTATCCGGCTGGTATAGATACGTCGTGTGTCATGCGGTACGGCGAGCTGATTCGCTACCACAACGAGAACCTCTTAGAAGGCGGAGATATGAGCATTGCGGCAAGCAATATAAACTGGGAATGCTTTTGCCAGAAGCACGGTCTGCAGTTGCGTATGAACATCGAGCAGCTGCTGAATGACGAGAAAGCAAAGGAGGATCTGCTAGAACAAAGCAAGCAATGGATATTTCCGTTACAGGGCATCACAAAGTTGCGGAGGGAACGCTACGGGTTGCACTTCCATCGTGCTCCTATCATTGCCAATGTTCTCAATGCCATATTCACAAATGGCGAAAACTATGGCAAGCATAGGGAGCCAGCGGGTGATGGGGCGCTCTTGCCGAGCACAATTCACCTATCGCTGAACAACCGATTTATCAACCAGGACGAGCACAATTCAAAAGAGCTGCACAAGTTCCGTGCCAAGCAGCTGTACCTCATTTTGGGCCGTATTTTGGAATATTCCAAGTGGCGTGTGGTTCAATCGGACGATGTGACCGACGACACTTTGAGAGTCTGCGTTGACTGTAATAATGTGCCGCGTCGGCCCTCAGTCGGCCAGGAAGATAAGAAGACGGTGCGCGTTGTGTGCGGCCCGGTGCTGGAGCCGACCACGAAGACGGCGACAAGTATGACCAGTGGAGGCTACATGGCGTAAGTAGTCGGCGCAGTGATATCCAACTGCATTTCACCTGCTTCCTTTCATGTGCATTGCCGGCGGCAGACTGCGCTCCAATGATATGCTCCTAATAGCTATGCATCGCCATGGCGTACGCGACTGCGTCAAGGGGAAAAACTTTGAGAGCCTGATGCAGCGGCTTGGCCATGCGGCTGTCATAGTGGATCTGTTCGAGGTGCGACATAGCACGGGCGCCACTGTGGTGCGCAGTGGCTTGGGCAGCTCCAAAGGTGCCAACTACATTCTCTACAATTCCGCACGCCTCGAAACGTTGCTGCGTACCTTTCAAGCCCAGGTGAATCTCGGCGTCTATGAGCCTTTGCCGCCCCTGGACAAAATCGATCTGAGTGTGCTTGAGGATGAGGTCTGCATGCGTTTATATATATGTATATGTATAATACGCCTGTATATTTTGATTAATATTCATCTCTTTCTGCACGCAGCTCGACTGGCAGCTGATTTACGGCTATTTGCTCACCTTTCCAAAGGTGGTGGAATCAACTCTAGCCCAACTGGAGCAGGGCCTGTGCGCCGTCCATTCGCTCGTCCGCTACATCGTGGACTTGGCTAGCCTGTTCAGCCGGTACTATCGCCACAAACAAATACTCGTGCAGCAGCGCACCAATCTGATGCCCGTGCTCTATGCTCGGATCTATCTAGTCAAGGCTGTGCGCCAGGTGCTCAATTCTGCGCTGGCGCTACTGGGGATTGAGCCCGTGGATTACATGTGAGGATGGCAAACGAGGAATGTTAAACGAAGGCAGCATTTCCGTTTTGTATATTTAATGTACAAATGTTTTGTAAATATAACAACAATATATATATTTATATTAACTATACACAAGAGGGATTACGACGAAAACAGGTGCTGCACAATCTGCAACCTCAATGAAATGTTCTTTGCCATAAAAATATGTTATTTAGTTGCCGTAGGCCTAAAACATATAATATACATTGCATATGCATCATATTTAGTTTTAAATGGAACAAGAGCTTTATATACTATATTTGTAACAGAAAATGTCAGAAAATCTACTGACACGAACTTAAGCTTAAATTTAGATAAGTTAGGCTTAGTTTAAAGTAGGAACAGATGGCCAAAAATGCGTCACAAACTTATTTACAAACGAATAATAAAAAGAACAGAACTTAAAATAAAATTTAAAAAAGACTATGCTAAGGAACAAGTTGTTTTCCATAGATGTCAGGATCGAGAGAGGGAAACTAAAACGATAATTGTGCTGGTTTCTTTATGTGCAGCTCTCTCCCTCTCTCGACTTCCATACTTGTCTCTTACTCGCTCTCATCCATTCCGCTGCAGCATATCTAAGGTATTCATTTGGCATTTTGGCTAGCAGCAAGTCACACTCACACTCATACACACACACGCACACGCACACTGATAGGAAGCTTGAAGCATAATACTATAGTGGAACATGCCAGGATTTGGGTGGCGCCCACGCATCATCTACTCTGATGCTTCTGTCGATTAAATTCGGTAATAAAGTCGATGTTCTGTCGATTGTTGAAGAACAGCTCCTCCATGAGCCGGGTGCTGCCCAGCGAGTTGGCCTTGGTGCCCAGGCACATGTTGTACTGCGGCGGATCCAACTGCACGTCGCAGTTAATGTCATGATAGATGTGCACCAGCGTTGGATCTGGAGCACGGAACACGCTGAGGCGTCGCCATTGTTCGGCTGCCTCGTTATAGTCGAGCGGCACTTCAGCCGTATTGGACAGAAAGCCATGTTGGCGCGTGCCAACGCGCACAATCTTCTCCAGAAACTTGACATCCTCCAGGCCCCAGCCCGTTATATCCTTGTCGAAGCCATTGATGTCATCGTCCAGTATGTCCGACTTGTATATGGCACAAATGCCAAAGCCAAACTGCCTGAAGTATCCATTCTCATCGTCAATGGGCACCTGCTCGGAGGCACTGGCTCCATTCCGACGCTTCGGATCGTACTGGCTGAACACAATGGGCAGGTACACCTGTCGACCACGCTGCGTATGCATACGCACCCGCTGCAGTGTCTCCACATTAAAGACCATATCGACATCGATGAATAGGATAATGTCCTGCTGTCGTATGTACGAGGAGCGAGCGGCAATGTCCAAAGCGACGCCGCGCGAGAATTGGCCACTGCGCTGAATATAATTGATCTGCTGGTATATGTGGCGACTGCGCAGCTCGTTCAGCTGCTGCAGATGATCGATCAGCTCATCCGGCTGCCCGAAGATGACAACCAGCAGATCGCAGTGCTGTGCAGCCACAAGGCAAACGCGTTCATAGATGGACAGAAAGCGCTGGAAGGTGGCCAGCCGGCCGGCAATAGGCAGCACGAAGACAATGGTGTCCGGCGGAGGTGTCAACAGATTGCTGGCCATGGTAAAGTGGCTGCTGAGCCGTGCCATACCGTTATGCAGCAGGCTGCCGAACAGACCTGCAGCGGACAAGCCTTAAAGACAAATTGCACGACGATAAGCAAGATAATATGGGAAATACATACATATACATATATATATGTATATATACTTAGCGTAATCAAACTCACTTTGCTGCAGCGTCACATTGTAGAAATCCTCGTCCAGCTCCTTGACAAAGATGCCTGTGAAGGCGCGCTGCACATACAGATGGCGCCGGACGGGCACTGTCATCTTTTTGCCGCGATACTTCTTGTAGATCAGCAGGAGGTCCAATATGAGATCCTGGCCATGCAGTGCATCCAAACGGTGGTAGCCATACAGTAATTCCCGAAACTCAATCACGCGGCCACGTTGACGTGAATAATAGTTGATGTTCTCCATGACCTCCGTGATGACATCCTCGAGGCCCTCGCGCATCGCCGAGTCAATTTTCTGCTTGGGATTGGCCGAGCCCGCCGAGTACAGGCTGCGTGCTATAAAGGACCAGTCCAGCAGATCCGCTGTGCTCGCGGGCACAAATTTATTCAGCTCGGGACTAATGCCTGCAACAGTCGATAACATGAAATTAAATTCGATAAGATGTGTAAATGCAAGTTCGATAGCTTGTGCATATGTACATATGTATGTAAATCACAATCATTTCGATAAGTCAATCGATAACTTGCAAAAGCTTGGCGTTGAATTTAAATGGCTTTGCGTGGGCTTAGCCCCGAGAGCAAAGATGATGCAGGCAAATGCTCATAAGGTAGGCATGACTGGAATGAAAGATGTCCCAGCAAGAATTTGACAACATTAACATTGAGATTTCTATACAATCAACTACCTCGACACGATTTTTATGTAAAGCATGTGGCTAACAAACTTGCCCCACCTGGCATTGATCACGGCATTAGTCTGCTGTGATGCATTAGGTTGTGGCAGCGAAAGGGCAACTAAACCCAACGACGTTGAGCGTGATGCCAGCTATTGGATGGACAAGGCGCAGCAGCAGCTGGCTGTGCGTCTGATGCGTAGTCGAGAGGCGGGTGGGGGCGACAGTCGAGTGGCCAGGAACGTTATAATGTTAATGGGCGATGGCTTGTCTATTACCACGTTAACAGCGGCACGAATACTAAAGGGTCAGCATGCCGGCTACAGCGGCGAGGAGGCTCAGCTGGCCGTGGAGCAGTTCCCGTATTCTGGTCTATGTAAGACCTACTGCACGGACAGCCAGACGGCGGATTCGGCATGCGCGGCAACAGCATGTCTCACCGGCATAAAGACCAACTACGGCACCATTGGACAGAGTGCTCAAGGTGTCAAGGTGGAGTCAATTCTGAACTGGGCTCAACGCGCCGACAAGGCAACTGGCATTGTGACCACCACGCGACTGACGGACGCCAGTCCGGCAGCCGGCTATGCGCACGTGCAGAGGCGTTCACAGGAGCTGGACATAGCACGGCAGCTGATCGAGGATGCACCAGGACGGCATCTGGATGTAATCCTTGGCGGCGGCCTGGGTAAGTTTGCCAGCGAGCGTAGCGATGGACGGGATTTGCTTAAACAGTGGCGGACAGCAAATCCTGACGGATGTTTTGCCCGCACGTTGAGCGAGCTGCGCGACTGCGGTGCCACCAATGGCAGCCTGTTGGGCGTTTTCAGTGATAACCATATGGCCTACCATTTGGCTGCATCCAAAGGTCAGCCGCGGCTCCGCGACATGACAGAAGCTGCTATTAAGCGGCTGGAACAGGAGCCTCAAGGCTACTTTGTATTTATTGAAGGCGGTCGCATCGATCATGGACATCACGAGACACGGGCCGGCTATGCGCTGGACGAGATGCTCGAGCTTGATGAGGCCATCGAGGTGGCACTGCAACTGACAAATCCCAATGAAACGCTGATTGTTGTTACGGCGGATCATTCGCATACACTCAGCATGGCTGGCTATGCCAATCGAGGGACAGCCATATTAGGTCTAGATCCCAGCCAACGCGACTTGGACGGCATACCCTACAGCACGCTCAACTATGCCATTGGCAAGTGGCAGAGCCTCAACAAGGCCGGCAAACGGGAGAATCCTGCACCGCATCTGAGCAAAAGTAAAGAATGTTATTTATTTTTGAATTGCGCGAAATTCTAGGGTATATATTTATATATATATATGTATGTTTCGTTTAGCATCCTTTACGCCCAGCTATATACATGCGAAGGGYGTACATTCTGGCGAAGATGTGGCTGTGTTTGCGTTGGGTCCCCAGGCCCATCTCTTTAGTGGCGTCATGGAGCAAAATCTGTTGGCACACCTGATGGCATATGCAGCCTGCATGGGCCATGGCGCCACAATCTGCGACGCATCCCCTTAGATATATCCACATGCACGTTCAGTTCAATTTTTATTAATGTAAATTTCTGTGTAGTGTTTTGTGCATTCAAAAAACAACGCTTTGAAAACTATCGAACGCCTTTACCACTATCAATGATATCGATATGTGAATTCAGTTTGGTTCATTTGCATCACATTATGAACTAGTTTCAGATGTTAACCGATCAGTGACAAGCTCGGCAAAGGCCATTTAACGTATTTTTCAGACACGGTATTGAAGGTACAATTTGAACTCAACTTACCTAGAATATTGTGATCTTCAAAGTGCCGTTTGCCAGTGTCCTTCTCCGGAATGGCACCGGGGGAGACGCTTGGTAGCATGTAGGTGCTGTCATCGGGCACATCCAGGTACTTGGCCATCCGCTTGATGTCGCGATGCAGCAGCAGCGACTCCTGGCGCAGCTCCTCGGCCTTGAGGCCCTGTATGTAGGAGTGCAGGCGATACATAAGCGGCGCCTGTTTGATGGGATGCAGCGTGATGGCATTGTGTATTTCCTTGCGTTTCAGCTTGCCCGTATACGCATTACGGCCACTCGAATTGTGCCGCAAAATGTACTGCATCTGCAAGGGTGAGTAGCGATAGCGTCAGTAGGAGACACGTAGCCAGAAGGTCGCTCACCTCGTTCAGCTCACCTCGTAGTTCCAGGTGCAGGGAATACCAGCAAATTTCTGCACACATCGGCCTACTTCCACATCCTCGTGAGTGCTGTACAGGTTTTTCAGGCAGGTGGGTATGTGTGGTGCGACGCGCCGTAGCGTCTCGCTGCTGAGTATTACACCGGGACCGCCCATGCAAAAGTTCTCATCGAATTCGAGGGACAACAGACCGAACTCCTCGCTATTGCCCTTGCCCGCCTGTCCAATGAACTGCGGCTTCGAACTGTCGATGGAGCGCAGAAATCGTTCTAGCTTATCCGGCTCCATGTAGACATCATCGTCCGCACGGATGAACCACTCGAACCGATCAATATAGTGCTCGAACATGTAATACAGCATCATGAACGACTTCTTCTGCGGCGGATAACGATCGTCTACATTCTTCAGCCCAACCACCGGCAGCTCATCCGAGTAGCTGCCCTCCGAGCTAAAGAACGCAATGCGTCCGGGCACCTCCTTGCCCCACGTATCGTACACGGCACGCGCACGACCCTCGATAAAGTTCTTGGCCGTCATCACGCCCACGAAAACCAAATTGCGCTGAGAGTTCTGTATGGTGTCCTCATCGTTCAGGCCGATGATTTCGTTGGGCGATTTGAGATTCGTTGGCCGCATGCTGCAGCGCTTCACAATCTCCAGGGCTCGATAGTTTTTCAATACGGTGCCAATGCAGAGGCCCAGTGCAATGCCAAAGCAGGCAATGATTAGCGTTTTACGCTTCGTCATCGTGTGCTGCAGCATTGTGTTGGACGCTTGTGTTGCGGGGGAGTCCACGGTTCAGGCTAATGGGCATAGGGGAGCGCTGCTGCAAAAGAAACGTGCAGGGATCGTAATTTAAATATAGTTCAATTGGATCTCGCTTTCACTGACGCGTGTCCCCTGGCAAATTGTTAATTAGACCGATTTAGACCTATGTATATTGCACATCGAATACCCTTCGCAAATGTGTGCGAATGTAAATTAGATGATCGAGAGTATATCATATTCAATTCTATATTTTGATTTTGAAACTTGTGTTCATATTGTATCTGCTATTTGATTATAGCATTTACTTTATGTTTCCCTTATTTTCGCCTTCTTCTTTCTCTTTCTCTTTCTCTTCATTATTTTCTTTTCCCCTTGTTTTCATACCCTATTATGTTTGTGCTTTTCTTTCTCTTTCTTATCTTCTTCAGCTTTCTCAGTAAAAGCTTTCACTCATACCCTTCCTGTCCGTCTTCATCTTTTCTTCTTCTTGAATTGATGTTCTTGTCCTGTTCTTCTGCTCCTTGATATTACTTTCCCTCTCTCTTTTTTCTTTTTCTAATTTTATTTATTTTTTCTTTTCCTTACTTTCATCTGCCTCTTTTTGCTCTTTCATTTTCTGTTCATCGTTGTCACCGTCGTTCTCGAGCTCATCCTCTTCGCCTTTCTTTTTTTGAACTCTTGCTCTTACCTTTCCTCTTCGTCTTCCTCGTTCTATGTTTCTGTTTTTTTCCCTCCCCTTTTCTTTTCCTCTTCTATTTCTTAAGATAGCACCTTGATTTTTATAGAGTAATATCTCTAGAATCGCCCTGAGTAAGAGGCACTTAATAGTTTACAATGCTCTAATTGTTTGTGGAATGCGCTTATTTTTTATAGTTTATTGCAGTTTATAGTCTTGCTGATGAAAGATTTTCTTCGAATTGTTTGCCATGCTCTCAGACACACACACTCGCATACACATGCACACATGCAAATGTCTATTTGGATTAGTTTTGTGATTTTTAGTGCACTTCGAATCGCTTAACGTTTCCGAACACACGCATGCAGCTAGCAGAGAGCAACAGATACTCAGGCACTAGAGGCACTACAAATACTCAGATATTCATAGACTCGACAGAGACACGCCGTTACTTGAGCTCAGATTGAAAATAAACGAGAGCCAGCTGGTTGGCATCTAATTTTAGCTCAGCTCTCGGTGCAGCTTATAAATTGGACATTGTACGAACACCAATTGGTTTTGTCGCCCATCGAGATGGACCCACAAGATGCTGGCGGAGCCGAGTGGGGCAGGGTGGTGCAGGGTGGTAACTAAAAGCATCTCTGATTTTTTTCCTAGTTTTTCTTACTTAGTTGATGTGGTTTTGTTTGCTTTCATGTTTGCCCGTCCGTCCGCTATCTATGCGGCGAACACACACGCACACATATACACACACCTCCTTAGCCGCACATAAATGTTAATTAAATAAACAAACAGCTCAGAAAACTATTTGGTCTACAAAAAAAAAAAAAAAAAAAAAAAAAAATTAGAGAAAAGCTGACGAACGATCACTGCGATCCATATGCTTCGAGTTGGGTTCTGTTGCCTTTTTGCTTGTGTTGGGATTCGAGTTTGTTTAGTTAGCAATTTGAAATGTTCACAAAAAATAAAAAAACAAAAAATAGAAGCGAGGAAGAAAGAATGATATACGCACATGTATTTGGCACAACTTACGGCCTAATGGCCTTCACTCACCTGAGCACTCGCCTTTGCAGTCCCTCTACCCTGTCTCTCTCTTACTTACTCTCTCTCTCTCTCTCTCTCTCGAGCACACACCGTCTTTTACTGACTCACCTTTGCAGGTGTTTACAGTGAAGCGGTCAATTTCTGTTTAAATGCTCTTAACTCTTAACCAACGTACGGGAATTATGCAACCGGCTATCGCTGGATAGCTCGGACATTGTATTTATGGCCGATAAAATTTTAATTTAATTATTATACCCATTGCAAATGGGTAATGCGGGAATATTAACCATGGGCAAATATATGTTATAATATGTTAGGCATATTTATCGACATTTCTATGTGGAAATGAGAAGAGATACTTATTTTTTAACGATCCATCAATATCGAGCAGAATCTATAGCGAATATACATATTTTTGTTTTCGAAGTTAGAATTATTAGAATTTTGTAAAAAGTTAGTAAAGGGTATTTCATATTAGGTCATATATAAAGTTTTTCTCGTATATTGTTTACATTTCGGTTTCGTTTAGCTTTTATCTATTCGATAATTTCGCTTTCAATACTTGAAACTATAGATTCATTTCATAGATGGTTCTGCCCAATTCTAAGAAATTTGTAGAAATTTGCATAGTTGATCTATGCAATATGTGTTAACGAAATAACTTAAGTATGATTGAGATCAGAGATCGATTTGCTAGTAGAGTAATTATTAAGATCAGATAGATTTGCAAACTTAATACAAAGTCTAAGCAAAATATCTAAATTAATTGAGCTTGGCTAAGGAATACAAATGCAATCAATAAAAGACCTCGCTGTATCTTATCTTGCCTGTACGCTCGCCGTATAAACTATACTATGTACTACTTTGGTTCCTCTTAAGCTCAACGCAAGCACAGCAGCATTTGCAGCACTCACCTGTTGCTCAGGTAAACGGGGCAAATGGAACGGATTTTGCAGTGCTAGCAAATACTGCGATCGATGATAATTGCGAGCAATTTTGCACACGCGAAAGTGCGAGACGGGGACAGACTGAGGCAGTTAAGGAGCGACGACCGGACGGACAAACAATTGCCACTGTCAGCGTCTTCGACTCTCTGACGCTGACGCTGACTCTAAGTCTGGGGCAGTGTCAGTGTCGCGTTGCGTTGCGCTGCGGTGCGGTGCGTCGCGACGCTTCTCAAGCTCAACTGTTTTTGCCTCAGTTTGTCTGTCTGGCGCTGGCGAAGATGTTGATGGAGACGGAGACGAAGGCAGAGACGTTACCGGCGCTGTGCAGGAAATGCGAGACTTTGAGACACGAGTGCACACATACAAAATCCGACAGACAGACACACACACACACACACACACACACACACACACTGATACACTGAGCCACATCAAAAAAATGAGAGCGCGCGAAACATGAGCAAAAATGCGAATTCGAAAATGTTTTTGCAGGCCAAACAGTTTGATATGAATAATATACAATTGACAAACACAACAACAAACATTTAACAACGACCATAACAAAAGCAAAATATGTATAATAACAACAAGAGCAACTTGTTTAACTGTTGACAATTAGACGGCGTTGGGGCAATTAATGTGTTGGGCTTTCAACTTGAACCGCAGCAAAGACAACACACACACATACACGGACACGCTCATACACACTTGCACACACACACACATTCGCGTAGTTAGTGAAACATGCGCTGTTTAATTATTTTTAGCTGTTGTCGCTGTTACGACGTTAAGTTCGCAAAGGTCGCGAGCCACAAAACTTGAAAATATTAAGCAAAAACTTGTTGCGAGCACAATTAAATATTTTCATTTAAATTTTCATCATACTTTATTTATTATAAGAGAACAAAATTTTTAATTATACAAATTTCACTTTCATCGGCTGTTGTTTTTTAATTTTATTTAACAATTACCATGAAAAGAAATTGTATTTTCTTCTTCTGTGGCTCGTCGTTGGTGCTTGAACCGACACGCTCTATGTCTGTCTATGTTTGCGTGCGTGTGCGTGTATGCAACAAGAACAAACGTCAAAAAACGTTGAATTCCGTTGAAGAACTAACCGAATGAGCGGGCTGAGTCGGCGCCCGGTGTTCCGATGGCCCAACTTGAATACTGAGAGAGGCGCAGAGAGCACTTGCCCGAGGGTGAGATAGTTTAGTGCGAGAAAGAGAGAACGCGCGCTCGACCGGCTGCTACCTTTGCTGCAAATAATCGCTCTCTGTCAGCTATCGCTGTATGTGTGAGTGCTGATGTGCGTGTATCTGTGAGAAATCTGCGTAGCTGATAGCAACAGCCGGTCGACAGAGCAGCAACAGGCGAGCGCACCACTTCACTCATTCCCATCGGTCCCGCCTGCCTGCCAAGTGTCATGTGGTGCTTACGTCGATGCCAAACGGTCATAGGCAACATGTGGCTCAATCTGAATCTGAAGCAGGTCCGAGTCATTCGTTTGTCGCTGTTTATAGTTCACAGAATCAGACATAACTCATTAAATTTGGCATCAAGTCGATTCCAAAAATTTTAAAAAAATATGTTCACAAATCTTTGTCTGTCCATAGATACGTACATATATATATACATATGTATATGTATGTATGTATTTGTATGTGTACCCTGATAAGATACGAATATGCATAAGATTCGCCAATAAGTTGATTTGCTTATTAAAATATGCATGCATGTGTGTATGTGTTGTAGTATATACATACATATGTACATATGTTGATAACCTAGCAGTAATTAGAGCTACTAGTGAAGCTGATACCAGTAAAAAATTTAAATATACGAGTATGAAATACTACAGTTAATTTATATGTATGTACATATATAAAAATTCAAAAAAATGGTAATGCATTTTTGTTTTAAATTAGTCTAATTGTGGTTTTTTATGTCAATCGATAGTTTTGATCGATAATAATTACACGACCTCGAAAATACATATTTACATATTGAAGAGTGTTCGAATATGGCATATTTATAATGCTGAAATACATATAATGATCATAATACAAGATGAATCCGTTTCCAAAAATTTGAGATTACACAGGGCTTAAATGTGCTGCTAAAGACGGTTTGTATCTTCGCTAAGTGTGAAAAATAAAAGCAGCCTTTTGTGCTGAGCACATACGATCATTTTGGACAGTCAATATTGAAATGATTGTAGAGCTCAAATCATTCGGTTAATTATAGCTATTCTAAGTCAATTTGCTTATTGTTTCGTTTAATAAAGATTGCAAATAAAACAAAAAAAATAACATAAATCTGCTATTGAAAGTTTAACTGCGATTTTACAGCTTAGTTTTGGCGCTGCCAGAGTATTTCGAAGTGCATTGAGTGGCAGCTTAGGAAAGCAACGGTTAATTTTGTAAATATGGTTGAAGTGTGTGGCTCACGTGTTAAATGTTAATATAGTGAATTGTGTAACTTGTGAAAACGTAATAAAAGCAAACAAGATGAAGTGGATGATGTGCCTGGTGCTGTGTGCGGTATGCAACAGCAACGGCCAAAAATCCAAGGATACCTCCAAGGCCGTGATCACGCCCGGGCAGCGTGACCAGGTGGATAAGCTGCGCAGTGAATTGAATGCCGCCTTCGAGGCGGGCCAAGGGGTACCGGTACGTAGAAAATACAATACTTAAGCTTCCTTTAGACATTTGTGTGTTGCGTATAGGCTGGTGTCATTGTGCAGCCAGAGTGGACCAAGCAAGGCAGCGCTAATGCCAAGACGATCAGCAAGGTTATAGTGAACGAATCCACATTGAAGGAAACGAAGGCGCTGCGGACAGAGATCACTGAAGCGGTCGTCAAGCAAGGCCAGACAGAGGAAGTCATCAAGCTGGAGGCAGCGATCAAAGCCAAAGCAGGTGCCACAGGGAACGAGGCGATTGTGACCAGCGCACGCAATGAGATGCTGGGCAGCAGTCAGGAGTCGACTGCCAAAGTGGCCAATGTGGTGGATGCCACACCGTTGGACATTGATTTGGCAAAGCTCCACCAACTGGAATTGTCCAAACGCCGTACGCGAGAAATGCTAGTGCTCAGCCGCATTGAGGAGGATCTACAGTTTACGCTCGGATCAGATGTGTCGCATTGGCTGCAGCTGCAACAAAATGGTAGCCTCTTCCTTCTGGGTAGACGCAGCCAAGATGTGTTACTATTCCAGCAGCAAGCTCTCTCCGAGGGCTCGCAGTTCCGCGGCTATGAGGCACTGCAGCCATTGTTGGTGCCGGCCGGCATTGATGCGCTGCTTAGCTACGAGCGCTGGAATTCGCAGGCACAGTTGCAGGAGACCTTGGTGTTGCTGGCCACCCAGCAACAATTGCTCTGGTATCGTTTGGAGGCGGGCATGGGTCTGGCCCAATTCTGGCACTGGCCGCTAGGCAGCAGCATTGACAAGCTGCTGCCCTTCGTTGTGGAGAACCGCGAGTACTTGGCCCTGATGCAAAATCGCACACTCAGCATTTATGCCTACGATGTGGATGGCATGGAGTTTTGGATTGTGCAGCGAATGCAGCTGGAGCAAACGATAAGTGCACTTGCCGTACAGGATACGGGCCGGGACTTGCTGCTCGCTGTGGGGCAGGCCGATGAGGCGCTCATCTACGCCCACAATATGCGCGAGCTATCCCCAGATGCGGGCCTACAGCTGCAGCTGCGGCAACGTGTGGATGCACCGAAGATCGCGGACATCGCCGCCTTCCAAATGGGCGGACACAGCTACGTGGCCTTGGGCGGCCTGCGACCCCAGATACTGGCCTATGTGCAGGGTCAGCTGGTGCCGCGGACATTGCTTGGCCAGAACTTTGGCTTGGTCGAGCTATTCCTGCCAGTGCCCGTGCGCACCTACCGGGATGATCTGCTGCTGCTCGTGCAGCATCGCGTGTTCTTCGACACCCACACGCTGATCCAGCTGGAGGTGCTCGTCTGGAACGGAGAGGCCTTTGAGGCCAGCCTGCCGGCGCCCTGTCAACTGGGCACGCATACGCGCTATGGCGCCGGCTGCATGCTGGACGAAGAGCGAGACGCGGGCTTGACGGGATCGGTGCTGCTGCGTCACATACAGCCGCCGTTGTTGCTGGTGCCACGACAGGCGGCGCCTTCGGGGCTGTTCCGGCTGCATACGGAGCTGCTGCCGCGCAATTCGGAGCTGCACGACCTGCAGGAGATTCACAATTTTATGAAGCAGTGGGTGGATGAACAGGACAAGATAATCCAGCTGGCCGAGCAACTGCTGCAAGCGGAGTATCATGCAGAACCAGAGCTAATCCACTACGAGGAGATAAACACGCCGCTGCTTATCAATGAGGGCGCCAAGCTGGATGCGCTGCACGTGAATGGAATACCGTGGACAGTGCAAGACTCTGCCGTAGACCTGTATGAGCTGTTGCAACAGATGCGCCTGCTGCACCACCAAATCATGGGCACGAATGGCGGACGCATGAAGCGTCAGCCACAACTCTTTCATTACGACTATGAGGAGCTGGAATTCGACATTGTTGAAGCTCAGGAGCTGTATATCGATAGGCTGAACCATGTGCCCTTCTACGTACAGAATGCCACACTCGAGTTCAACGGTTCGATCAATACGCAGCTCCTGGATCTGATGCGCCCGCAGTCCATTGAGCCAGCCGAATCCTTACCCTCAAGCACTCAACAGCGCCTGCAGCTGGACGCCGATCTCAGTTTCGAATTCATCAATGGCCTGGAGTGGACACAATTCTTTCAACAGTTGGTCTGGCGTCACGAACCGCTGCAGCTCTCGCAGCTGCGGGTGGCAGGCGTAAGTCGATCTCAGCTTGGACATGTCTTGATCATTATCCATTATCCTTGCGTTTCAGGCTGTTGTCTTTGAGGATTCGCTGCATTTGAGCGCACTCAATGGGCTGAGCTTTCCGGGCGACTATCTCTGGTCGCAGGGCAGCACCACTACCATCGTTCACTCGCCGAAGCAGTTTACTCAAACTTTATGTGGGTTATGCAACTAGTTATCGTCGGATATACTATGCTGATTGATCTTTGTCTTGCTTTATTTTAGCTGCGAATATGGTGGACACTGATGGCTCTATTAATGGCCGCGATCCCGCCGATGCAATTACATTAAGCGATGCACAGGATTGGCCAGGTTTGGTTACCTTCACACAGCTGGAAGTCTCAGAGCAGCTTGAGGTATTTATAAGTCACTATATAACTACTGTAAACTCGATTATATATTATTTCTTCTCCATTTGGCAGCTCAATGGCAGCGCCCAGGGACGTCAGTTTGAGGAGGCGCCTCTGAACTCCATGTTGACCGACTCGCATCGCATTTCGGCTGCCTGTCACTTTGTGGAACTGATTGTCAATGGACCCGTGCATCTACGTGGCTTGCTGGATAACAGCAGCTTCGATGCGCTGCTGGGTGACCTGGTCCAGCGTCCGGCTGATCCCAATGATGAACTGATTATAACAGGATCTAAGCACGTACAGCACCTGGCATTGCCAGTGGATGCCCATATCTTGGATGGCACACTGAACGGCATACCCATTGAGCAGTTTGTGACCAAGCACACGGAGCAGACGCTGCATAATCTGACCACTCTGGACGGCTATGTGTACTTCCATCAGCTACAGCTCAGTGGTAGCTACGATGGCGTTCAGCTGGATCAGCTGATGGCCCAGGCGTTGCGAGTGGATGCGCCACTTGTGGCACCAACTACACGACTTCAGTTCACCAGCGAGCCGCCACAGTTGGCAGAGCTGCGCGTGACCCATGCATTGAACCATGTGCCGCTCTCCAGCGGCTATCAAAAATTACACGAGCCACTGTACCTCAGCAAGGCGCGCTTCGAACGCCTGCAGGCAGAGCAGCTGGATGTCGCGGACAGCGTATTGGGTGCTGGTCACCTAAACGGCCACAATCTGAGCGAGCTGCTGTCCAAGGAGCCGCGCGTGGACATTGTCCAAGTGCAGGAGCTGATTCTGCCCATGGGCGTGCAGGCAACGCAGCTGCAGGGAATCAATGCTGAGCTGCTGTTGGGCTTCCTGCGTCAGCTGGATGAGCTGCCGCTGCTCATTCTCCATGGCCAGCTGCAGGTTGAGCACATTGCGGTTAGTGGAGCTGTGCTCGTCGATGACGCATTGAACGGCCGGAATATGGCGCAGCTGCAACGCGACGTTGTCTGGCTGGATCGACCCAATAAGCTGGGCACACGCTGGCGCTTCCAGCAGGCACCAATATTTGCCAGCGATGTCTTCCTCCAGGGTAGCTACAACGAACGTCTGCTGCCCGAGCTGCTCAACGATATAGTCTTTCGCTCCGATCCGCAGCAGGAACTGCTCATTGTGGGTACCAAGAGCTTTGCGGGACCAGTGACTGTTCTGGACACGCTCCAGCTGCAGGCACTGAATGGCGTGCCCTTCGACCGGCTGGCCAATAAGCTGCTGCCATTGGAGTTTGATGGCCAGCTGCACCTGGACGGTAACCTTTATGCCGAACATCTACAGCTACGGGGAGACCTGAACGGGCAGCCCGTTGAGAAGCTGGAAAGGCTGCTGCATTGGGATACACAGCTGGGCGCTTTTGTACATCGCGGACTCATTCGCTTACCTGCGCAAGGACAGCTACAGGAGCTTACGGTTCTGGGTCACTTGGGGAATCGGAGCTTAGAGCCGTTGCAGGAATTCTTTGCTGATTTAGTGGATAAGCGACAGCCGCAATTGTGGATCGAGGGCCACAAAGTATTCACGGGTCGCGTACATATCCAAGGCGGTGCTCACATTGTTGAGCTGAATGGCCTAAAGCTGGAGCAGCTACTGCAGCAGATTATCTTCATTGATGGCGCCATGGAGGGCTACGAGGTGACGCTGCAGTCGCCGGTGCACTTCGAAGCTCCCGTAGAGATGAACGAGCTGCAGCTGGGCCAACTGGTGCTGCAGGGTGAACTCCTCAACGGCTGTAATATCACTGAGTGGATTCATGATACGCTGCGCGTGGATCGCGACTGGCAAGCGAATAGTAAATTATATCTATTTCAAAAAATTATGAAAATAAAATTAATTTATTTCTATTTACTTTGCAGCTATTGTCAAATTTGCTCCGGGCGCATTGGACAATAATGCGCTACAGGTTGCCCAGCTAAATGAAATCAAGCTGGAGAGGATAGTTACGCTGCATACGCCGCAAAATCTCAGCTTTCCATTGGTTGCCAAAGAGCTTCATCTGGCTGACGGGCACGTGAAACTCGAGGGGCTTGTGAATGGACGCAATTTGTCCATGGAATACGCCAATACTCTGCTGGTAAGCTAGTTGACAGCTTTTGGACATCTAGCTGTAGCTCTTTGCCTTCTGTTTCAGATTAGGGCACCGCAGCCGCAGCGCGTGACCACACCGTTGGTCATAGCGTCCATGGATGTGACTGGCTCGTTGTTAGCCACCGCGCCCATCAACGGAGATCCCAATTTCAATTTGAGTAACGTGGCCACGCTGCACGAGGAGCAGCTGTGCCTGCAAACGCCGCTCAACTTTGCCCAGCTCCATGCGCCGGAGCTGCGCACGGACTTGCACATCAATGGCTTCAACTTCAGTGCCTGGCACGAGAGGAGCCTGTGGGCGCAGGGTCGAGCGACTCAGGTCATTAGCGGCAACTGGAGCGTACGTTGGCTGCGCGTTAAGCAGCCCCAGGTCGCTGAGCAGACAGCCCATGAAATTTACCGGCGCCAGAGCGAGTGGGCGGAGCGCTATCAGCAGCTGTGCAAGCGTCTGTCCAGGCTCCTCGGTCTGCTCCGTTTGCCCTACCACGTGACGCAGCTGCGTCGCAGCTTTGCGCTGCAGCAGGCCGCAGGTGAAGCGGATATACGACGTGTCTTTGCGCTGCAGTCGGCGCCACAGGGCGCCAGCTATCTGCTGCTCAACGAGGTCGGCTGCTGGACGCGCATCTATCGCTGGAACGGCAAGCAGTATATAAAGTCTGGCCACTTCGAGAGTGGGCCCATCGATGATGTGACTGTGCTGCAGCTGCGCAACGTCAGCAGTGCCAATGGCAATGACCAGTTCAGTTTCATGACCAGCTACGAGATGAGCGAGGAGCAGCTGGAGCGCAGCTGGAACTGCAGCAGTCTGGCAAATCTGCAAAGCTGGCGCACCAGCACCGAGATCGAGATTGAGCCCATGGGTGTGCCAGCTAGCAAGCTGCAGCAGCTGCTGCAGAAGCATGAGGCACAGCAGCGACGGCGTGGACCAAGCTACCAGGACGCCATTAAGTACCTGAACCGGCCCACAACTGAGTCGCATTTGCGGCCCCATCTGGACACGATTCATGCGCTTAGCCAGGAGCAGTACGAGACGCTGCGACAGCGCCTGCTGCAGCATCTGAGCTTTCGCCTGCAAACCGAGGTGAATATCACCCAGCTGAGCATACCCGAGAGTGATCTCTACGACGACGAACATCTCGTRGAGGACTTCTTAAGCCTGATGCGACAACTCCGGCTCGCTTCCAGGTCTGGCAGCGAAGCATTTGCTGCTCTGCCCACCGACTCGCTGCCATTGCCAAATACTCCGGGTCGCGTCTTAGCCGCTCGCACTGCGCAACTGATTTGGTCCGCGGTCGAGGAGCTGAATGCCCTACGTTCGCGACTGGCCAGCAACGATAGCCAGCTGTTTCAGGAGCAGCATGCGCTGCGCCTCCACTTGTCGAACGCTATACGAGATGTGCTGCTGCTAGCCAACGTTGGCAGCCATGAGCAGATGGGCGACGGAGACGAGGATACGAGGCGACTGCATGCGGTGATTGGACGTCTGCGTGAGCTGCAAGACCAGATACAGGAAGCCCAGCAGTTGGACCTGGACACAGCCGAGACGAGCAACATGATGGGTATGCAGCCACATCCGCATCAACAGTGGCAGCCAGTGGAAACGATACGCTTGCACGTGGGTCCAGCGCAGCACGCCCGGCTGCTGTATGCCCGGCTCACCACAGTGGCTGCCGATGCGCCGCCTATAGCCCCATCCACAGCGCCGGGCGCCCACGTCCAGCTGCATTTCGCCAATGGCACCATATTCCAGTCATTGGCCGCCGATTTGAAGGCGCGGCAGCTAACAGCTCTGCGGGTGCGCGACGAGACGCTGCTGGCCTTTGTCGAGGGCTGTTGCCTCGTGCGAGTTTTCATTTATCGGGGCATTCAAGGCTTCGTGCCCTTCACGCAGTTCCACGCTGAAGCGGATGAGCAGACGGAGCAGCCGGGCATTCAGCAGCTGCTGGCCCTGCGACTGCCCCTAAGGCGTTCACCGGGCGCACTCTATTTGCTGGCCGTGGCTCAGGCACGGCGGGTTACCTTCTATGAGCTGGTCATGCCGGGCTTCTTCGAGCCGTGGCTGCATTGCAATTAAAACACTTCTTGTTTTGGATGCATCATTATTATTATTATTATTTTTATGTAAGAATATTACATATGTCATAGTTATGTCAGGATAACGTCAGCTAATGTCAGGTTAGTTCAGGTTAAGTCAGTGTATGTCACATTACGAAGAAAAAAATATATGTATGATCGAGCCCCACACACGATACGAAAAAAAAAAGAAAACACCAGAATTTAGATTACCGATTTACAGGGAGACTATAGATACAATTGGCTACCTAACTAAACTATCCAAACCAAACTAGCTAAACTAAACTAAACTAATTATCCAAAAATTTTTTGTTTTGTTGTTGCTCGTTTCCTGGAAACCTGTGCATGGGGAACGGGAAAGGCAAACTATGCGGAAAATGTTGACACACGAGATCGTTAGCCAGGTTATTCAGCTTCTGGAGCAGGCTCGGCTACCTTGGGCTTGGTCTTACGGGTGCTGCGAGCCTTTACCTTTGGGATTCCCATATTAGAAAAAAATAATTTCAAACTCATTTTTGTTTACTATATGAATAGGTACCTTTCCCTTTGTTGTGGATTTGATAGCCTTCTTCGACTTCTTGATGGACTTCAGCTTGTTGCTAGCTGCAGTCGACTTCGGTGTGGGCTTTGGCTTGGCCTTCGGCTTGGCCTTCGGCTTTGCCTTCGGCTTTGCCCTAGTCCTTAGTTTAGCAACTGATTTTTTGCGCATTGCTTTTGATCTTTTGGGTAAAGGCTCCCTCGTGATGGGTGCATGAGCCGTCCCCTCCCAATTCTGGTAAACGGTCGTCGTCGCCATCATCAGGATTAGAATCCATTTGGTCACGCATTTTATTCACTCAATACTCACCAGGAATTGGCTCTTCTGCAATGGAGACATAGCTTGCCAAGTCATAAGAGCATTCTGCTTAATATCATGATCGTCTAGATAGCAATGGGCATTCTTGAATGTTTCCAAGAATATTTGAAATGCATGATCGGACGCTTTTGCAGCTGCAGGCCTTGACCGTCCGGTGCCCATTTTTGGAAGAAAATATTCGTTTTTGTATACAATTTCAACAATTGAAAAAAAAATATATATATATTTCAATAAAAAAAAATAAAAAAATTCAAAAAGCTGGAATTTTTTCCCAGACCTTTTCTATCGGACCTGAAGAAATATAATGAATGTTGTGAGCTAGCTCCCTAGGAAGTTAGACCGGTGCTCGAATTTTACGGCATGGCCAACTTTAATTTATATATTTTTTGCGCTGGATTAAATTTTTTTTTTTTTTTTCGATTTGAGACATTTTCATGTCAGTTTGAATTATCGAGCAATGGGGGTGCTCTATATGCGACTGCTCGTCTGGGATATACCTTAAAATCCTACTATTATCTTTCTACGTATAGATACTACTGTATACCATATACATCCAGTCAAAATTGTAAGTCCTCCGATTCCCAGAATATACGAATATATGTCCTCCGATTCAGCATAGCTTCTAGTATAAACTATATAGATAATAGATAGCAGATAACTCTTATTTTTCGCATAAACAATTTATTAGCGCAGTAGCACATAAATTTGGTATAAACGTAAAAATTTGGCTATCATATGCCCAGTGTTAAGATCAGATACAGGTGACTCATATACATGGGTAATGTAGATGTTGGGTTATCACTCGGCATTGGACTTCTTCTTTTGTCGCCGCTTCTTGGGCACTGCCACTGGCGAGGGGTTAGCTTTGTTAGGTGTTTTTTTATCTTTAGGCGCTCGATTTGGAACGTCGCCATCCGTTTTAGATTGAACTGAAGTAATTGGATAGTCCACACTCTCGCAGCTGGAAAACGAAATGATGCTAACATCTGATGATGCCTCATCGACCTGACTTAGATCGATAACATCCTCCATGTCATCCGCATGAGAGCGAGCAAAGAAGAAATTGTTGCAGTGTACTATCAGGCCAGAGTTGATGGACATGACCAAAGTCTTATTGAGTTTCGACTTCATTAACTCCATTTTCGACTCCGATGTACAAAAGTGGGCGATTATTGTCTTGTACGGCACTGGCTCCACATGCTTCCGCATAAACATCACGAGATTCGTATCGGTGATTTCGGTGGGGACATCTTTGAATGACTTTGAGTTCATTTTGAGAGGTTATATAAAATAAAAAAACAAAAAACAAAACAAAGAGCAAAATATGCACTCGTATAAAGGGATATCAAATTAAAAATGAAAAGAAAAACTGTATTTCTGATATGAGGCTTTAGTTTCTTTTGAACTGTATGAGTATTAAAACTGAATGAGTGCCAGATGTTAAGTTTCAGTGACAGTTGAGTCGGTGCTAACTTGGATATCGAAATATAATCTTCGTATAAAATTGCAATCTAAGGAACTTTTGCCCATTTATATATGTATATCGGTTTACGTTAAATTTTGGATCTCGGAATTTTGTAATACAATTTTAAAAATTTTATTTCTTCAATTTGTTGACCGAACAGCCTCTTGCTAACTTCTGTTCTACGCCAAGCCCGACTGACCTATTAGAATCTTGGTATTGATGGCCACCTCATTCGGCTCTTTTTCAGTATTGAGTAGTTTACAATGATCCCTAAAAATGGATGCATATATAACGATCGACTTTAGGGAAAAGTTAGCTCTTGTCGGAGTTGCCTGACCCGGAGCACCGTCTGATCTGTGTTTTTACATATACTCCATACTTGAAGACCCTAGCTCGATTAGGCGAACAAGATATAACTTAATAACTAAAGCTCGATACCATTGCTAGTCGATGTAATTGAAAGAGTAACAGTTATTGATTATTTGAAATAAACTTGATCCCCGGATGCTCCATAGGGATTTACAACAAAACGTTCAATTATTTAGCTCTTATAGATTTCGAGCTCGAGACGCTCAGACAGACGTAAGGGTGGGCATGCGAATAGGGAATAGGAGATAGGAAATGATTTATAGAGAGAAGACATGTTTATTTGTAGGAAAAGATGATCGTGCATTCCACGGCGCAGACAGGAGCATTATATAGACAGCTCAGGATCGAATTTCATTGGGCTTTATTTATTACACATGTTTATCAAACTAGAATATTTAGTATAATAATTGAGCTTATTTCGATTCCAACTCTCTCCAATTCTCCTCGGTTTGTCTTCTTCTTTTCCATTTGTTATTGACTCTTAGAACTTAGGCTTAGGCCCCAACTTATGACTACGACCCGCGACGAGGTCCTTAGGCGGCGGAGGATAAAAAAAAATAAAATAATAATAATGAAAAATCCAGTGACTAAAATAAATACAACGCGCACACACATAATTACGATAGAGATAGGKTTTATGTTAATGGTTAACGGTACAGTTAAGAACTATATACACTGCCAGCTGATTGGCACCGCCCCAGAGCTCCCTAGAACGCCAGGAAGTCACGGGGATCGCCAATTTTGGGACTGAGACGCACTACCACCTGATCATCGCCATCGCCGACCTCAAGGAACGAATTCCAATCGGCTAGAAAATAGAAGCCATTCTTCTTCTTGGGCGGTGGCGGCTCCTCGGAAACGGGGTCGGGCCCAAACGAATTGGCCAGATCGTCCAGCGAGCCGTTGCGTGACTCCTCCGTGGTCGAGGAGCTGCTTGAYTCGGTGGTGCTGCTTGTGTTAATATCTCCATCGCTGCTCGACTGCGTGGCGGTGTCCTCATCTCCTTGGCCCAGACCCAGACCCAGGTCCAGGCTAATGCGAGTGGGCGATTGTGTTGTCACCGAAGCATCCGAATCATCCGAATCGGCCAGAGTTGAGCTGGTGGTGCTCGCTGTGGTGGTGGTGCTGTTGTCCTCGCTCTGTCTGCGCGGCTTGAAGGTATCGATGCCCGGTGGCAGCGACTGCAGGTAGTTGGCGTCCGCCTGCGACTGCGCCTGACTGGCCAGCGACGCAGCCGGCTTCGGCTGGCCCAGGCTCACGTTGAGCTGCTGCAGCTGCTGCAGGTTGCTGATGAGCCGCTGCAGCTCGCCCAGATTGTCGCCCAGCGCCACTTGCTCGCGGGCCTCCGGCTGCGACTCTGGCTTGGCCAGCTGATAGTTGAGCTCGCTGAACTCGGCCATCAGGTCGCCATCGAGCACGCCAGCCTGGTCATCCTCGGCGGCCACGTCCATGTCATCATCGCTGCGTCGCCGGAAGCCGGAAGCGCCCGCAGCCAGGCCCATTGGCTGCTCCGTGGAGACGCCAATGCGATTGGCCGCCCGCTTGATGGCCGCCTCGATAATCTTCGTTGCGCTGAACACGGGCAGCTCCACGCTGCTCTCGGTGGTGGGATGGGGCCGCGGTGGGCGTGGCGACGCCGGCTTGCTGGTGGTCAGCGAGAACACCGCCGGCGAGGAGGAGTCGTGCGTGGGCGTTGGCGATGCGGGCGGTGAGGGCGTGGTTGTGGTGGATGTGGATGTTGTGGTGCTGGTGCTGGTGCTGGTGGTTGTGCTGCTAGGGGTGGTGCTAGGCTGGAACTGACTCTCCAGCTGCTGGGATAGCTCGTTGGGCAGTGCCACGCCCAGCTTCTGCAGCTGCTGCGTATTGTAGAGCAATTTCTGTAGCTCCGCCAAGTCGGCTTGCTTTGGCGTCGGCTTGGTCGTTGGCGGTGCAGCGGTTGGTGCGGGTGGTGCTGCGGCTTGGGTCACCGGAGCCGGCGTCACCGTCTTGTAGATGGGCTGCATATTCTGATAGCTCTGACGCTCGCCATTGTCTTCCAGGCTGCTGAAGAACTGCTGGAACTGCCTGAAGTCCTGATCCCGATTCAGATTCTTGTTCTGGTTCTGGTTCATTTGCGGATGGGCCGGCTGGGACATGGCAAACTCACGCAGCTCCTCGCTGGAGCTGAGCTCCGCCTGTGCAGCATTTGGCATTGGAGTTGTGTGCACCGGAGCTACGCCCGGCTGCTTGTACACGGGCAGCTCCAGCTTGAGATTCAGCTCGGGATCGGGATCGGGCATCGCCGCCGGCTGCGCGTACACAATCTGTGCACCGTTCAGGCTCTTCACGTTCTGGGTGCGCACGGAGGCGGCTGTGACCAGCTGATGGCCGGTGGTCGGGCGCGCCTCCTGCAGCTGCACGCGCTCCAGCTCCTGCACCTTGCTGAGCAGCTTCTGCAGCTGCACGTAGTCCTGCGGCTGCACATCCTGCAGCAGCCCATTGCTGCGCTCGAAGCTGCTCAGCGGCCGCTGTCGCTGCTTGCCCGTCGAGGCCGCCGTCGAGATCTCCACCTGGCCCAGATCCCGGTCGTAGGCCAGCTGTGCGGTGCCCGCCAGCTGCTGCAGTTGCGCGTAGTCGTTGCTGGGCAGGCTCAGGCTCCCAGCCAAGCCGTGGCCAGCCACGTTGCGTGTGCTGAAGCCCGGCGGGGTTGGCTGCGGCTGCTGCAGCTGCTCCAGCTGCTGCACGCGCGTTATCAACGCCTCGAACTGGGCGTGGTCCACGGCAGCGGCCGCCTTGGTGGGACGCGGCGTAGTTGTCGTCGTCGTCGTCGTCGTCGTCGTTGTGGGCGTCGTGGTGGCCTTTGTGGTGCCAATCTTGGCAGCCTTCTTGTTGTTGCGCGCCTGCTCATAGAGCCGCTCCAGCTCTCTGTCGTCGCTGAGCAAGCGCTGCAGCTGGAGCAGATCTGCCGCGCCGAGCGCATTCGTCTGAGCCGCATCGAAGTTCAAGCCGAGGCCCAGCGACGACCTCGGACGCACTGTGGTGCTGGTGGTTGTGGTTGTGGCTGTGGCTTTGCGCACGGCATTCGACTGTTCCAGCTGCTGCAGCTGGCGCAGAATGAGCTGCAACTCGCGTGCATCGTTGCTGGCCGCTGTGCTGCTGGTGGTTGGCTTGGTGGTGGTGGTGGTAGTGGTGGTGCTGCTGCTGACGCTGAAGCGATTGCTGAGCGCCTGAGTGCCAGAGCTCGTCGCCTTCAGCACATTCTCTGGATTAATCTTCAGCTTCTCCAATTCCTGCAGATTCTGGAGCAGCTTGGACAGCTCATCCGTGGCGCTGGCCGTCTTCTGCTGGTTGCCCGAGTTCGCAAAGTTGATGTCAATGTTGGGATCGATGCGGCGACGCGGCTTCTTCGGCTCGATGAGCAGCGGTGCGCCGTGGGTGATTAGCTGTGCCGTCGGCACCGATGTGGGCGGTGCGGCGGTTGTGGTTGTTGTGGTGCTGGTGGTTCTCGTTGTCGTCGTCGCCGCTGTGGTGCTAGCCGGACTGCTGCTGGCTGCCTTCCGTGCACCCTTCGTCTGCAAGCGCTCCAGCTCCTGCAGATTTTCCAGTAGCTTGGCCAGCTCTGCATTGCTCTGCGGTGGAACCTTGGCCGTTGCCGTCGACAGCTCTGTGTGGGCGCCCGCTGGCTCCTCCGTGGCGTTGGCTGTGCCTGTGGCACCCGCTTGAGATTTCTTCAGCGCCTTGGGCGACTTCTTCACAATGCCAAACCGTGTCAGGTAGCCCTCCACCTCGGGCTTGACGCGCAGCTCCTCGCCAATGTTGAGTGGCTTGAAGTTGGAGTAGGCATCGGGCCGTATGCGGGCGCCCTGCAGCCCACGCAAGTCCGCCACGGCCACGACAGGCTGCGGTGCACTCTCCGCCGGATAATAGTCGTCAATGGCGAAACGCTTGTGCGAGCCCTGGGCACCAGCACCAGCGCCAGCGCCGCCCACAATGCCCAGACTTTCGAGTATGTCCGCCACTGGCTTCACGGCGCTGCTGTGACTGATGCCCTGACCCTGTCCCTGTCCCTGTCCCGGCCTCTGAGCCTGACCCTGAGCCTGCGGCCTTGCCGGCTTGCGTAGGAACTGCGCATTCTTGGCGCTGTAGTGCGAGCTGAAGCGCTGACCCGTCTGGGCGGCAGCACGGGGCGGCGCCGCCGTGGCCTGTGGTCGGGCATAGTCGTAGGTCTGTGCTCCGTGCGTCACCGGCTGGAAGTCCATGCTGGGCTTGCCCAGCGACGGCGTCAGCTGGTACATGACCGGCGCCGGCGCTGGCGGATGATAGGTGGTCGCCGTGGGCGCCGGCACCAGCTGCTTCTGCAGGCTGCTGTAGAGGGGCTTGTAGGTGGTGGCCGCCACGGCCGGATTGCCGCCGGGCACAGTGCTGCGCGGCATTGCGTTAGGATCGGGCGTGATGAACTTAATTGGATTCGGCGGCGTGTAGGCGTCAATGACGCGCGTCACCGGTGGCCGGGTGTACAGCTCCTGCAGGTTCTCCTCGGTGTTGTTGTCCGTGTTGTAGGGCAGCACCAGCATCAGGGCGCGCATGCTGTCCGCTCGGCTCATGTCGCCCGCCTCGATGCTCTTCTCGTACTCCTCGCGAGTGACCTTCTCGTACAGTTCTTCGATTTCACCGCTGTGGGGAGGGGGGAAGGGAATATCTTAGTGATAATCAAGGGAAACATCATCATCATAGTCATCATCATCATGCTCATCACCAACATTATCATAATCATGAGTATGATCATTATTATCATCACCTTATCATCACCATCATGATTATGCTCATGAGTAATCATGAGTATGATCATTGTCATAATCATCATCATAATCATCATCATCATAATTATGCTCATCAACAACGTAATCATTATTATCATAATCATAAGTATGATCATTATTATCATCACCATCAAGACTATGCTCATCACCAACATTATCATTATTATCATAATCATGAGTATGATCGTCATCATCATCATCATCATCTCTTACCGTGTTAGCCTGGGCAACGCCGGATCATTGGCCAATATTTTCTGCACTTCGTCTATGGTTTGCTCCACCTCACGTGGCTGAAAGAAGCTCTTGTCCAGCTGCTGCACATAGTTGGCCCCGCCCAGCTGTCCCTGCTGCTTTATAGTCGGCAAAGCGCTAACGGTAATTGCGCCCATCAGCAGCATCAAGAGCTGAATTCTCAATCGGCTTGAGCTACCCATTCTGCTGGGCTGTAAATGAACGAGATGGCGAGATCAAAGAGATCAACACAAATGTCTATATGGTACATATATAAGTATAAAAAATATAAAAATCTTTCGATTCCGAATGATTTGAAATTCAGGTCACCTGTCAGGGAACAAGCTTAACATAACATATGTATATTTCAAAGCTAGTGTTTCAAAACTATAAAAAATTCAGGGTATTATTGCACAGGTCCTCATGGAGCGCAAGAAATCTTTTTATACCCAGAACCCAATGAAAATGAGAAAATGGGAAATCACGGTATAATGGTTTTCTGAAAAAGTATGTAACAGGCAGAAGGAATCATCGCAGACCCCATAAAGTTTATATATTCTTGATCAGGGTTACGAGCTGAGTCGATATAGCCCTGTCCGTCTGAGCGTCCGTACGTCCGTCCGTTTGAGCAAACCGATCTCAGAAGATATGTATAAGAGCTAGAGAGCTCAAATTGCATGCATACTCGTGTCTAGCATACGCAGTACAAGTTTATCTTACTTTTTCGTTAACTCCTCCGATAATTTTTTTTATCGAGAATAATCGAAAAATCGACTTTGTTTTTTCAGCCAAATTGAACACTTTTAGACCTAGAGACTTCAGATGTATATAAATTAGATGACTAGAAAGATTTTGTAATTTACAGATTTTGAATACCACGCCCCCCCTAAAAAACGTATTTCAAGTACTAGAATTTTGTGCTTTGGAACGTACCCACATCCTAATCCTATGATCACGCTCACAAAGATAGTCCTATCACAAATTATTCAACAAATAAATTCTCATAATATTGCCCATACTGCAGTGCAGCCCAAGCGCTGTCGCTGCTTACTGCGCAGTTGCATGTGTATGTATGTACATATGTATTTGTGCATAAAATAAGTGCAGAATGAGTAGAATATCAGCTTGGAGGGTTCAGGGTATCTTCTAGTCGAGCAGTCTCGACTGGAGCCTTCTTACTTGATTGATTCTTAATTGACTCAATATTTAATGCTTCCAGCTCTAGAAGATTTACAGTTTGAATAGAATAGCTCTAGCTTTAATAAAAGAATTCACAGATAGTAAGACGCTGAATGAAAAAGATGGACAGATGGACAGATGGACAGTTGGACAGACAGAAGACGAAAATTCGCACAAAACCAATATACTCATTTCACTTTCGCGAATGAGTATAATAAGCGAAACGATCTCGAGAACCGTTGAGCAAAAACATGTTTGACTTATGGACATATCTAGTCCAGGTCGCAGTCCAATTGGATTAACTTCTAGAAATATCTTGGCGACTGCATGAATCAACGCGCGGAATGTGAAAAGCTGTTAGATTTGCAGGAAGACACGCTGCCTGGCATGTGGCCGGTTGATTGAAAGGAAACAAAAACTGGCCAACTGGCTAGATGACTAACTAGCCAATAAGCTGACTGGCTGACTGGCTGACTGGCTGAGTGACTAGCTGGCGAGCTGGCGAGCTGGTTGATATCATTCCAGAGCGTGTCGCAATGGCACACAGACTCCGAGTGACAGAGCGCTGGCTCTATCCGCAGTCGCAGTCACAGTCGCAGTCGCAGTCGCAGTTCCATTTGCAGTTATTGCCCGGGGGCCTCCACTGCGCATTCCAGCTGCAGAGTGGTCGGTCGAGCTGTATTATGCGCTGCAGTTGCAGAAAGTCCATTTAGAATGCGCAGCACGTAGACGGGTTAGTCAGGCTGAAAGAGCTGAAATGCTTGGGCCATAATCGTTGCTGTTGCTGCTTGTTGAGTGAATTTTTATTATTTTATGGGGCTATTTCTGTTGCTGCTGTTGTTGTTGTCGTTGTTGCTGTTGTTGTTGTCTTCGCATTCATTTTGACAAGATTATCTAACAGTTCATTTAGCTAACGGCCTCGCTGCTGGACACTAACCATGTCAACGCCAGCTGTTCACGTAGACAGACGATCGGCAATATTTCTCGACGTCGCTTTCTACGGCAGTCATTTAATTTATGATTTAACTACGGTAATTAAGTGAAAATTAAACGCTCCGATAGGCTACAAGCCGGCGTACGCGAAGCACTTGCTCTGTCCAGCCAGATGGCAATGGACCGTAAAAGTAGTTCCGCACAGACAACTCAAAACACAAAAACAAAAACAAAAGAGCTGACCAAGATCGTCATCTACATTAGCCGGAGTCCAACATCTTGCGTCACTCTCTCTCTCTCTCTCTCTCTGTTTTCTCTCCCTCTCTCTCGTATCCTAACTGTCAACTATTCAATCATATTTTGCATAATAAATCATAGAAACTCGTATATCAATTGCTATGGCAACGCCTCCACCAATCCATTATTCATAATTGAAAACATTTTCCTTGCATTTACTTGTTTTTCTGTTCATTTTTTTTTTTTCTTTCTTTTCATTTTCGATTTTGTAATATCATTTCATGGCTATAGATATCTGTGCACTTGACGTCTCGTTGGCTGTCTTTCTGTCTCTGTGTCACTTTTGTCAACAAAATTTTCCATGCTCTGCGCGGAAGTCCACTTGACAGTTGGGGCAAATTGTATGGCATTTCTGATCTGCAGGTCTTTTGAGCATCGGAAGATAATACGATACGATATGATCGCTTGGCTGGCTGCCAGCTGTCGATCGAGCCACACAATAGTAATTAATCTGCATGCGGATCAAAGCCAGCTACCGCTCAATGACGATAAGTGTGAATGCCTGCGATAATGATGTAATGGCAGCCTGCAGTTCACTCTGTGGGAAACCGCAGAGCAAACCTCATTTGTGTTTAATCCTCAAAACTAACAGACATTAGTTGCCAATTGTGGAGGTAGTCGATTGAAAAGGGTTTACTTTGGTTTTTTGCACCCTGAACGCAGAGAAAATGGAATTTCAGGGTATAAAGGTTTTGCGGAAACCTATGTAACAGTCAGAGGGAGGCGTTTCAGACGCCACATTTATGTATATACTCAGGACGAGGCAATCACTCGATGTAACCATGTATATCTATTGTCATATCATGTATGCATATCCGTCTGCCCTTCTGTCAATCCATCCGTCCATCCAAACGTTTGTGCGGCAGTCTTTCTTCCGTCAGTCTATTTTCCCTCTGTCCGTCTGCTCCTTTGTTCGTCTGCCTCTTTGGCCGTCTGCCCTTCTGACCATCTGTCCGTCTGTCCCTCTGTCCGTCTATGCTTCTGTCTATTCCTCTGTCCGTTCATACATATGTATGTCTGATCTTCCGTAACTCCGTCCGTCTATCCTGCCGTACATCCGCCTGGATGTCGTAAGGCACCAAAACTAGGGACTTTAGGCTTTTAATATATAATAATAAACTCAGTAGAAGCTCATTATTTTCGTCTTTGATAACATTTCCTTATTATCGATAAAAATCGATAGCTGACTTTATTAATTATTTATTTTTATTGTAGGCGCTCTTTTAAAATCATCTCAGATTTACCGTGTAGCTTTCTGAAAAGAGCACCGAGATGTGTATTTCGAATTTTAGATAGCTCCGTTCGTGCTAATAGGCCAAAATGAAATATTAGAGACTCATTGAGTGTGTGTGTGTGCTTCTTTTTATTTAAGCATAAATCAATCACAGATTAATTTTCCAATATTAGCTCTGCGCGGAGTTCAGGGTATCTACTAGTCGGGCAGAGTCCACTAAACTGATATACATACTTCACCCTGCTTGAATTGATTTAAATATGCAGAGCTCTGACGAGCCCTAACTCCCGCCAGCAAGCTGTAAATCAAATCAACTCGAATTTTCCCGTGAAGTCCGTCTGTTTTTTTTTTTTTTTTATGTATAAATGTACCTCAACTTAATTGCAATTATTTTTGCATAGCTTTAGTCTGATTTCTTTATCTATTTTTATTTTACTGTTGCTTTTTTTTTGTGCATGGTCTCTGCAATTTCCTATAACAATTAACTACTGCCATGTACAACGCGTCGCATACGTAATTTATGCTCTTTGCATATCTATTTTTGCAGAAATTCGATTAAACTTCAATTGTGAACGAACAAAAAAATAAAAATGTATTTTAATTTTATAATCGCTGTCGCTATGCGTGTCTAGCGATATTTATGTGTGTGTGAGTGTGTCTGTGTGTGAGTTTGTTTGTTTATTACATTGGCCACAATCAAAACGCAAATAATTTGTTACAATTGCGGCAACAGACATAATAACAACAACTACAACAACAACAACAAACGGCAGCAAACAGCAACCGTATAAAAAGTGAGCCAATCTTCGGTGAGTGCATTTCCAATCCGCCGGCGACGCAGACGTCAGCGTTGACGTCGACTTCACTGAAGCGCATTAGACGTCAACGTCGACTGCGCGCGCCTGTGTGTGTGTCTGTGTGTGTGGTAACAATTAAGTTGCTGTTAAGTAATTTTTGCTGTTTGTTATTGTTATTAAGTTTATAAACTATACGAATTATATTATTATTATCTCTCATTCCCTCTCTCTCTCTCTCTCTGTCTTTCTCTCTCTCACTCTCTCGCTCCTCGCCATCACAATGGCCTAGTCCTAGGCCTGCCACTCGACTCGAAGCAAATTGATGCGTTTCGTGTTATGATTGTTTGACATATTAATTTTATTTTCCTTTTTATTTCTTCATTTCAGTCTCTTTCTTTACCATTCCGTTTTGTTATTATTCAACTTGACACATTACATTTGACGGAAGTGAAATTGTCGCGCTGCCAGGGTCCAGCAACTTTGACACGAATGAACAATAATTAGCCAAGCAGCAAACGTTTTAGACTCTATTAGCACTACTTGACTCTGCTGACTTGGCTAATGCTTTGCTAGCTCCATATACATTTGGCTAATGGCATTATAAAACTTAAGAATTATATCAAGTTATTAGCGAAGTTTTATTAACGAGAAATTCCTGAAAGTTGCCGATGAATAGAAATAGAGCTCTTGCTAGAGCTTTCATTTAATCGAAAAGCTTAACTGGAAGTTTTTCTATTTGTGAAACTTAGAGCTTACCTAGCTCAGAGTTTCTTGAAAAATAAAGTTTTATTAGCAAAGAAATTACAGAAATT